GACAAATCTTTCTTGAAGCTCTATGCTCCCATTTACCACAGTAAGAAATATGGATTAAAATAATGAATGAATCACAAACTCTCAATACAGTACATGTATTTAATCACACAGTCAGTATTTCTTCACACAGATCCTTATCACCAATTTCTCACACTCTGGTGACTGGATTTGTACAGCTAATCCTATTCAAAAACAAAACAAAACAAAACAAACAAACAAAAACACACACGCAAAAAAAAAAAAAAAAAAAAAAAAAAAAAAAAACACTCTTTTTTGATACCAAAGGGAAAAAAAGATTCCAGGAATTTAAACAAGATGTGGGACATTATTCCTGAGTCAGGAAGATACTTTACATAAATTATGTTTCCAGGACAATGATAATTCTGTCCTTCACATCTTTAATATTCAAAACTTCATGAAGTGATTTCATCAGAAAGGTTGCTGTATTGAAAGCAGATCAGAAAAGTTCGAGACAAAAGAGAGCTCTTTGAAAGAGTTGTCCTATACAGGTCCTTGATGTTGCATAAAATTGTGTTCAGATATTTTTAATGCAAGAATCAAATTACTGTGAGATGTAAGCCGAAAAAGCTCATTTATGCTTTTGATATTTAGTGATGAAGAGGGGTAAGTTAAAAAAACAAGCAAAATTGGAAAGATTCTTATATAACAATCAATACCATCATGAAACTATTGATAATAAAATGAAAGTGACCTTTGGATTTGCAACTGCCAAGCAAAGTGCTTTTTCTCTCTTGAATGAGCAGTGGAACAGCAGAAGCCAACAAATATTTTGTGGCTCATCAGACTCTAAATAATACCAACACATTATACTTCCTAGATTCAGTAACACTGATCTATTCAGTAAGGCTGATCTTTTAGGGAGGACTATAAAAGATATTTAGTAGCCTGCACGTACACTGCTGGAAAGTGAGTTACAAAACCTGCAAAGATTAGACTGTAAACACTTCATGTGAATTGAACACACAGAATTATCTGTTGGGTGTTTGCCCTGAACTGGCCATGGGGAAGTGTAAGATCACAGCCAGCTTGATTAAAGGAACCAGGAAACTTCAAAACACACTGAAATGAAGAAGGGGTCAGCTGGAAAAAAATAAAATAAAATAAAATTGCATCATGAGGAAAGATGGAACGAGAAACAGCAGCAGCCAAGGCCTGGTTTGGCACCTCCAGACATTGCCCTGTAGCACTGCAGCCTTCCGATGGGCCTCCACAAGCTGCCTGCTTCCAGGTGGGGGCCACATGTGGGGACCCACTTTGATGTGCCTGCAGGGACCTTGTAGGCATGAGCCCCACAGAGCTGTGGGGAGCTGCAGGGGCACCCAAAACAGTGCTGGAGCACCCAAATCTCCAGGAGGCTATGGAAGTGTAAGTTTGTAAATGGGCAACCACCAGCTCCAGATGCATGTGTAACCCACAGGGCCATGGAAAGGGCATGTGCATGTATGTCAGTCAGCCTGTGCATGGGCATAGAAGCTGGAGAGGTCAGTAGCAGAACAATTCTTAGAAATTGGTAATGTTCATTAATATTTTGTATGTCTCTAGTATCATGTGTTGTGTGTTTTTTTTTTTCCTGTTGCGTTGCTGATATTAGTCCTGAAGGCATAGTTCTCATTTGCAATTAATTTTACGACATTATTTTACAAATAAACTTCATAGATCATGATTTATTTTTAACTGCATGAACTGAACAGCTCCTCTCTGTGATAGACATTAGCCAAATTCTTCATATTTTCATACACTAAGTGACCTTTATGAACATAGTTGGAGAAACATTTCAGTGTGACAGTCTTATTTTGATTTTTCTCATACAAGGATGTGATTTTTCTTTTCTGAGACATGCAGTTTGAGCAAACAGAAGTAGGTCAGCTGATGCAAACTGTGCAGAGGTAAGAGAAATAAGAAATGCAGATGAGGCAGTGAAGTAGGAAATTGCAAGTATTTTTGGTTGAGGATGAGAGCTCAGCAATGTTGCTAACAATGGCATTAACAGTATACTGTCTTTAATGCTGATGAACTATAAAGAGTTGTCCTCAGCGCGCACACACACACACACACACACAAATCTGTGCTAATATCTGAGGTTAAACCTTTGAGAATTATCACAAAATTAGCAAGTGTATCTATCTGGCCACTTACTGGAATCACACATAAGATATTGTAAGGGACAAGATGACACCAACATCTGTCCTCCAGCACCATCGATACAGAATCCAGTATGGTAAGAATAAAGACTTACAAAATCAAAACTGCAAATATTCTTTTCCATACTCATATACATAAGTGTATAATTATAAACAAATGCAGGTTGTTTTTGTTTTGTTTTTTTTTGTGTGTGTGTTTTTTTGGTTTTTTTTTTTTTTATGGAACCTCAAAGAAATGAAAATTAAAAAAATCACTGCAAAGAAATTCTATTTCATTTTAATTTCTGAGACATTCCATTCTCTAAAGTTGGTATTGAGTATTTTCATCAACATAAAATAAGCAAATAAAATTGTGTGTGTCAGTCAATAATTAATTCACTGATTCATAGTTGAAATTAATTTTTTTATATATATATTTGTTCATATATATTTATTTATTTTTCTTACAACCTCTGAAAGATTCCTGAAATCCCTATTAAAGATATATTTGATATGATTAGGATTCAGAAACATAAAACTGACTGTAGAGCTCTTGTGAAGTTAAAAAACAAAAACAAAACAACAAAAAAACACCTTTCAATAATACTCTTTTCTATAAAGTTTCTCTAAACTTTAAAGAGAAAACATTCATTCTGTTTGAAATAAATGAAGAAAGTGTAAGTTTTTCATATCAACCTCTCCTTCCCCCAAGACACAGTTAAAAAAAAAAAAAAAAAAAAGCACTTAAAAAAAAAAAGAAGAATCCTAAGCTTTAATCTTGCTCTAATTGTAACAAAGTAAGGTGATCTCCCCCTCCAAAAAAAATAAATCATTAAAAATGCATCACAAATGAAATTAATTTAACTTGTATCCTTCATTTTCAAGTGATATATTTTGATGCTTTATATTCTGAGCTTTACCTAAACCATCTAGTTTGAAGAACACAGACATATCAGCTAATTTTGGCACATTTTTCAGTTTTGTCTACAAAACTTGAACAGTGTTGAAATTAGTGATAAATAGAATCACAAAGAACCTTTCTAGTATTTTCTTTTTTTGACAGAAGCAATAGTAATCATGCCTCATCTAATTTCAGTGATAATTTATAATATTATGTAAAAAATCCAAGCATCTCAACAAACCATAATTTTATTAAAAGTAATCAGTGAATATATCATGAACTTTTATTTATCTAAAGCTCAGTAATGAAGTACTTATTTACCTTTTCAAAAGAAACATGGAAAAATGAAAAGCAACAGAAAAGAACTAATGAGAAATAATGAGTTGACAGAGTACAAAAATATGTCCATAAATGTGATATATGATTACTTGATCCAGTTTTGTTGCTTCAAGGAAAAAAATAAAATAAATAAATCAAAGCAGGTAACAATGAAGTAATCATATTTTATTTAGAAAGAATATCTCTGTTGATTTTATTTTTTATTTTTTAAATACATGAGATAAAAACAAGATACAACTGATATTAGGTACCATATCAAAACTAACACTTCTAGTTACCCTTTGTGTTTGCTAATAACACACATTATTGATCTATGTTAAGATGCTTGTGTTGACAATCACTGCTCAAAATATATTTTGGAGGGCTATGCTATCCTGGATTGAATTGCCCAGAATAGAAGTGACAGGGAATATTTCATTGAATATTTTTCCTGGAATAAAGCTGTGTTTGTAAGACAACATGTGTTTTTTGCAAATTTTGTAAGGCTTCAGGACTAAGGCTTATCAAGCTTATGTTCTGGGCTTGCCTTGTACCACCTGGAGATTAATTTTATTTTGTTTATTGGTATCATGGTAGCAGTAGTTTTATAAAGAATTGTCGTTATTATCTAATTTGTTTTACTGTTGCATAGTTTTTGTTTGTTTGTTTGTTTGTTTGTTTGTTTATAGTGGAGGGGTATTTTAAAATTAATACTAGTATGAAGTAGCTATTTTGTGTAGAATGAAATATTCACATAATGCCATGATGTAGTGTAGAGGATTATAGGTATGGGATGAGAGCAAGGCCTTGAAAGTGGGAACACAGACACAGGGTGATGTGCTGGGGAGTCCCACTATAGGATAATAATAATGAAGTATATCCTAATCCTGAGTCCCTAGGCCTATAAAAACCTCACTAGTGATCAGCTGCAGAAATGCCAACTTGAGAATTAGGTAAAAATAATTTTAAGGACAACAGAGAACAGCATGTATCCAGAATATGTTACACTCTACATATAGTAAATTTAGATTTAATACGACATTGTAGAGCACTGCAGAAAGAACAATGCACAAAAAGGGTCAGGAAGTAGCCCCCACTGGACTCTAGAGCACGGTGAATCATAGAATTGTTAATGTTGTAAAAGACTTCCAAGATCATCTGGTCCATCCGCCCCCTTCCCACCAATATTACCCACTAAACCTTGTCCCTAAGTACCACATCCAACCTTTTCTTAAACAGCCCCAGGGACAGTGACTCCTCCACATCCCTGGACAATCCATTACAATGCCATTACTCTTTCTGAGAAGGTAAACATCACTATTGAAGTCACATTCTTCCTGGTGAAGCACTAGGGATGTTGATGAGATTAAAGCTCCCAGGCACCCTGGTCTGAAACCAACAGCACAATATATAATCACATAGCACTATAGCAAGGGGCAGATGCTAGGAAGCTTGAATATAACACTTTTAACTGCATTGTTATTATTCTTTTATATATATATATATATATATAGTGGTATTTTTTGTTGTTGTAGATGTTTTTGTTGTTATTGTTTTCTTTTCCTTTATTTTAAGTCAAATCTGGTTAGTAAAAATTTGGCTTAGCATAAAAAAAATGTATTTTCTTTTTCCTATACCAGGACTTTGAATGCAACAAAAGAACAAATGAACTCCATAGCTCTAAGAGCCCTTCAAAACTGAATGGATTCTGTCACAAACAAGGTGAGCACCAGGAAAAACCCTTTGCTGATCCACAGGTCAGATCTGAAAAGGAGGAATTTTCTAGCAAAACAAAAGTTTCGTACCATCCCATTTGAGAGAGAACTTATAACTGAAGTCTTACAGGAAATTTAAAATTAACAAGTCAAATTTTTTTCCTTCAATAAAAAAACTGTGTCCATATTCCCCCAAAGAAATCTACTGAACCCACGTAAAGTAAGCCAAGAGTGTCTGGTCAGAGCTCATTAATTCTTTATTTTTGCAGAAGTGACAGCAGCAATGTAAATCTATTTATATTTATCCCTATTTAACTGAAGTAGTAAATAATGTTCTTACAGTTGAAATAACTCACAGTGACAAAGATGTAGACCAGTATTCTCCTCGCATACCCGCATGTGTCAATCAGAAGCAGATCTACCTAAACAAATGAAGTTACACCCATGCAAACTCACTGTAATTGCAAGAAAATAACATTTCCAGGGTTATGATGGTAGAAAGATGTTATGTGAAAATGACACAATTAATTTTCTCCTCTTCTCCAGGGTGTAGCTTATCGAAAGGTGGTGACAGCTTAGAGGTGGGGAAAGATGTGACGAGGGACAAGTGGAGGGAGAGGGAATGGCTGAACGACAGCCAGTTGGCAGTTGTGCTGTCAGCCAGCAACTGTTTGTGTTATAAATGGGTAAAGTCAGGGGAGCAGGGTTTGAAGGCCATGTAGGGAAGAAAAGGGTAAAGCCCATTGTTTGGGTAACCTAATTAAGAGAGAAGTTGTTTCAGGATTTTTGTGACAGAGGCCTTGCAGGTAGGGAGCTTCTTGGGGAAAACAAGCAGCTGCCTGAATCCAAATAGTTCTCTGAATAAATAACAGAAGTCCCCAGAAAGGTACAGTTATCCCTAGTGGTAAAGAGGCTGCTCTAAGGTATATTAAAAATACAATTTTAAGATAATCCATCCCAATTTCCTGGATAAATGTGGTCTCAGCTCTTTCTAGATTACTGTGGCCTAGCAACGAGGGTGGCTATGGCCAGAGTAGCAAAGTGATGCCTGCAGCCTGCTGAGATTGCTGCCCTCTTGCCACTGCCTCTGCCCCAGCAGCCTTTCTTTTACAGCTGTCGTGCCTGAGAGTGATGAACTAGCTGTCATGAGGTCTAAAGGGTTTATGTTCCCCCTCACCAACTGCCTTCTTCAGCACCAGTGTCCTCCAGGACTGGTAAGAACATTGCTGTCCACCAACCAGACCTAGGGGCTGAGGGGAGGCTCAGTCTCTGCGTATAATTTTGTGTTATAAACACAGAACTCATGTTTTTCAGGAAAAACGTGGCTGGCCAGACCCAGTTCCTGGGTCAAGCTACTGTATTTTGGTGCTGGAGAGGAAGAGATTTCCAGTGAAACAGTTAAAGGTATCAAAATGTCAACAGATGTCAAAAGGAATGGGTCCTGAAATACCACAGAGTAGGTGAGCAGTCTCAATCTTCTGTGTGGTTTTCATGCCAGTTATTGCCAGCAGAAATGAATATATTTTGAGTTACCTGGTCCTGGTTTCCTTACTCTAAAGATGAAAGCACATTCCAGTTATATGTACCTCCATATAGCCTAAGCCAAAGTCAAGGTAATCTATTTTTTTGACTACATCTTTTTATCTTGAACAACTATTTCAGGAAAAATACAGACTGATGATTCTATAATGTATCAATTAATTAAACTGATAACATGTTAGATAGACAAAACTTTCATTTTGCAATGACTTATTTCTGAACTTTGAATAATTCTGATAAAGTCAATGGAAATACAGAGAATATATACATATATAAAACACCAGCTTTAAAAAGTCTTTTTATTCTTTTAAGATTTTTTTTTTTCATACACCAAAAGGAACATTGACATTTTAAACTTTTCCCTTTTCCTCATAAGTTGAAAAATGAAAACCACTGAAATAAGTTTTTTCACTGTTTTCAGAAAGGTAGATGAACAGAAACTGAAAGCGGGAATTGCTTCTATCAAAATGAGATAAGCATCTTGGTAAAAAAAAAATATATATATATATGTACATATATGTATATTATAATAATAACCCTAATTTAGTCAAATGATTGCATAAAATTTAAGTTCCTTTGAAATCTTGCTTTTGTCAAAAGCTGCTTTGAGCAGCTATTTCAAATTTGTCTAATTAAGAATGAATGATCTGATTTAGACTCACTACCAGCCCATATGTTAGACAAAACTTTATTAGATAGGCAGAAAAAAAAAAATTGTTAAATAGACAAAACAATACTGTGTCACCCAGTACTGAAAAAAAATAATAAATTAGCATAACCACTGATGTTATATTGTATGATAGAATTTATGTCTGCCTACTTTGACTACAGATGTAGCACAATCAGAAAGGTTGACCCAGATGTAGCACAACCAGAAAGGTTGACCTCAGAAGATTATACATTCTTCTGAGTAGTTCAATAAGTGAACAAAATCCTCTTTCATCCTTCTTTTTGCCCCTCCAACTTTTATTTAAGTTCTTATTTCAAATAACTTAGTTTGTTTAACGTACAAAACATACAGGAAGCCACACAGCAGTGATCTGGAAAAATACTATATTAAGCATTTTTTTAATTTATTATTATATATATTAAGTATTAAGGAAATAATTAGTGTTCGTTATAGTACAAATCCTACAGAGGCAAGTTGCACAGAAGCTAAAAAAAAAAATAAAAATCATACTTTATATCTTGCCACACAAGTGAAAAAGAAAGCAAGCTCCTATCTATCTATTGCAACAGAAATAGAAGCAGTAATATCATAGATATACCTAACTTTTTCCTTTTACCACTGAATATGTTATCCATACTGTCCCTGAGTATCTACAAGGGAATATGGGGAAGTGGAGGAGGGGCATCCAAGGAAAATGGAAAGCAAAAATTTGGTTCAAATTCTATATTTCTTACAAAATATATCTCTTTGCTAAAAAAGCATGCTGCTTAACTTGAATAAATAGCATATTCTTTCAAATACAACTACTTATAGACTGAAGTGCAATAGTTTGCATGTTGTGAGCTAAAAATCACATTATTGAAGTGTTACACAGCCATGACACAGGCAATACATTTCCGTGGAAGTACGTGGTCTATTTATTTTCCAAGTGAAGCCTAAAGGATAGATTTAAATGTATGCATTTATACAGATTCAAATTCTGAAATCCAAAACTGTCATCCTAAAAGAGCCTAAACAAAATGTAGAAACCAGTGTCTTGGATCTGAACAAGTAAGCACGCATTCAGCATACCCAAGTCACATTGTTAGGACTGGATCCCTCATACAGTCCTGGGCTGCCAAAGGTACTTACCACTAAGTAAATAGTCAAGAATCCATAGTCCTTGCTGAGGAGCAGGGATCTGGTTTATTTCATCCTCCCACCATCCCGACAAGGATGCAGGGACTTGAGATTGGGTATCAAAATCTGCTCCTCAACACAGAGGCTCTTTGACAGGACAATATCGTTCTCTTCTAAAATACTGCCTGGTGCCAGCATGCATGCAAGAAACCAGGAAGAAAATCCCAGAACATTTCTTTATGCCTATTCTATTTCCAATTATTCTTGTGTTTTATGTTTGTAGTTTCCTAATTAAAATTGAGAAAGATCTGGACTTTGCATGTGTATATATATGCAAAGGGGAAAATGAACATTTGTTTAGATTAATTGATTTTATACAGTAGTTCACTAATAGATACAGAATAATCTGGATAAAGACTATTCTCTGTACAACTTCCTATTCTCTGTACAACAGCTGGTGGAAAGGAAAATTCCTCAGAAATCAGAATTGCTTAGCTTGTACAGTGTAAAAGAATTTTTTAACTGGATAAGAGGAGATAATTTTGAACAATCATAAGGTTAAGGTTGAAGTAAGTGAGTGCTCTGCCTTTGTAAATGAAACCATGTCTGGCACCCTGCTTCCCTGGAGAAATGAGGCTAGTCAAGAATATACGGAGCTCTAAGCTTTCTGGGCTGCCCTCTCCCTTCTCAGTCGGGAGCTTTATTGGTTTTTATCCCAGGCGTAGCCCTGACCTACATGCCCTGCCATTCTCTGAACAGTAGAAAGAGAAACAATTTCTTGTACCTCCAGACTGTCATTCACTGTCAATGACCCACATGACTGAAATGCACTTGTATTTGATCCATACAGACAGAAGATAAAGGGTAAAGAATTAAGGATCAAGATAATTTATTAGAAAGATGGTAAACGATTTTTAATTATTATTATTTATATCTTTTGTCTACATCAACTCCATATACAACATTAGTAAGTTCATGGCTAGGCTGCCATGGTCCATTCTGGTGAAAAGAGAGAGAGAAAGAAAGGAAAAAAAAAAAAAAAAAAAAAAAAGAACAGACTTTATAAAAATCTTCTTAAGCCTTAATTTTCTCAATAATATGAAATAAATATTTTTTACTGATATATTACTAGAATATATTTAACATACTTAACATCAGAGACTTAGAAATTATCTAATGGGAAAATAATTTGTTAGTACAAAATCAGAATCAATTTGACATGTCCTGTGTAAGCTGTAAGAAAGTGTAAGTGTTATTGCACAAGTCTTCTTACCTCATCTATTGAATCTAAGTAATATGCAGACTACTTAAAAATAATAATAATAAAAAAATATTAACTTTATAAATGATCTTTTAAGATAAAGAGAAAAGTTAAAAACCTTTGAAATTGTTTTCTTCATATAAAGTGTATTCCCTTTTTATTCACTTTTTTTCAGGAGAACTTAATTTAACAAGTCTACCAAGTGGTCAAAGTTGCTAACATTTAGTTACATCAACAATGTAACTTTCATGTAACTTCAATGGGACCACTTTCAGTGTAAAGTCACACAAGTGAAATTAGGAATTTTCAGAACTCAGTAATCCACTTGATCTGTATGTTTTTTCTCTAATGGAATAATATAAGTAGCTTTCATTCCATTGAGCCAAAAAAAATAAAAAAAGAAAAAAAATATATGAGAAAGAAATGAAATTAGTTTGGTTTTTGTTTCTTTGATGCATCACTGATCCATCAGAAACACTGATAGCAGAAGCATTGATAGCAGAAGCATTGATAAATTACAATATGCTTATATAGGGTTACAGAAAATTTTGAGAAACTTGGCAAGTATGCATATATTTCACTTATGAGAAAAGTTTACTTACAGTAATATATGATCTCCACTGTAAGTTAACATGATAAAGGTAAATCAGATAAAAGGAAGGCAATAGATTTTGCAGAACTTTTGGCAAAATGAGGCTGCTTTTCTAACTTGCTATGTCATCATAACTGAGTGGTTAGAGGGTTCATCTGCTTGTAGTTCATGAAGTAAATCTGCTTCTGAAGACCTGATTAGTGAACACATTCCTTTGCCCGAGACCTTAAAGGCTGTGGAAAATCTTCCTATAAGGAGAGAGTAAATCAATTAGAAAAGGCAGGGAATGATCAGAGCAAAAGAAGAGAAAGTCAATTACAGGGCCGTGATGCAGTTTCATTTCAAAGTAGCTATGCCAATGTATAGCCATTGTAACATAAATTTTATCAGAAAAGTATCCCTGGTAAGAGATAGGGAATGGCTAGCCTTACTGAACCTTCAGAAGAATCTTATCAATTTTATAAAAGGCACTGTAAACTGGAGCAGCCTATAGTACAAGAAAGTTACAGACGATAGAGTAAAAGATTCCTCTGGTGCAGTTTCGTGTTTATTTACAGCCTTAAATATTCAATATATTAAAGTATTTTAAACAATTACCTGGAAAGCAAAGAATTCCCATACCCGTAGAACTGCAATCCACTTGAGTAACAACTGGCATCAGACATATTTGATCCACAATTTATTTATTTTTAAATTGTAAAGCCCAAGGAAAAAACTTCAAATGTAAACTTGGATATATATGTGCTGATAAAAGTTGTTTTAAGAGCTTTAGTGTTTTGCCACAACAGAGCCCTAAATGTTGAACATTTAATGCTGGTTTTGCATGCCAGTGCAGACTCGTTGTTTACAGCAGTGAAGTAAGGGCTTGAGTTCATGTGCTTGGCATAGAGCAGAGTGTACTTCAAAGGCTCATCTTACAGTCCTGTGATCTGTAATATGCTGGAAGAAGCACCATGACAATGGGTGAAGAAGTTTAATCTGAAAAGAATGTGAATCTGAGCTGGTTGTTTTTCCCTTTGAAGACAAACAGTTGCATTTTTCACTTCAAATAGTAACGTTTTTGTACATGTCTAGAGCTCTCTTGTAGATAACGACCCTATTGTAAAGCTCATCTTAGCTGTCGACCATGACAACACTGTTGTGGGTATTGTCCTAAGAGGAATGGGTAAAACAGAAAGTTGTGAGTCTGGTGGCACCATTTATGCACTAAAGTTATCAGGGCAGAAGTAGCTCAAGGATCCATTATAAGAGAGGGAGCAATCACAGCTCACTACCACAACTTGGATTGTCTTATTATAGTCCTCATCATTAGAAATGATGACTGGAAATATTTACCAACTCATAAATATATATATTGGCTCTGACTTCCAGTACCACAAGCTGAAGGTAAGGGGAATGGAAATGCCTCACTTACAGAGATCTTTTGCCAAGCTGCATCAGTAAAGGCTCATCAGCCCTACCACAACACCTGAAAAATCAACACACTTCTACTAAGAAATGCTGATTAAATCACTTGAATTTAGTGACTGTTGGGAATGACTCTCAGCACAAGTATGTTAAGCACATGCAGAATTAGGATTATTCACAATACAAGGTTGGGATCTGGCTAGATCAAATTTCGTCTTTTATAGTTGTACACAGACCAGGGCTTCATGATGAGTTGAGTTAAACAGGGTTTTGGGAGCTTTTTGCATTATTGCATGTTTACTGCATTATAATTATTGCTGGCCAATATCAGCCAATAATAGCTTTAATACTAAAAAGTATTATATTTTTTAATAATCTTTTGCTTCTGCTTTAAGTCTAGAAAACATCTTTATCATTGTAGAATACTTATAAATTAGCAATTAGGACAGATATCTCACATTTTTTTTTATGAAAAGTTTTCTTTAAAAAAAAAAAAAAAACAAAAACAAACAGAACAGTGTAGTTGGCGTGTATGCTAATAAAATAAACTTTAAATACAATCAAGTATTTTTTGACTGCCTTTCTGAGTATTAGGAACCAATTTGCTTATTTAAGTCATGTCAGCAATACTATTGTCTACATACTGTACAAAATACAGTAGATATATCTCTTTTCCCTGATTTGCTTTTTGTTGTTAAATTTTAATTTTTGTAGTTGTAATGTTTCCCTGTTAAACTATCTGATTAATCTTGATCATAACTGATCAAGGATTATTTTTAATCAAATTGATTTTGTCTTAGTCAAAGGCTGTAGATTTATTTGATCTTTTTAAAACACCATAATTTCTAATTGACTGTTAAGTGCTCTGCTAGCACTCATTATGTGAATGAAGTAAGTCATGGGCTTCGTTTGGTATTAATGTCTGTGATAGTTTATTGTATACTCATCATGTCCTGCACTTAGCTATGCACAGTATTTTGCCTTCTCACGGTAAAGTGCACTTTTAATTTTGAGGACAGGTTACTTGCATTAATTAATTAAATATTGTGACATCTGAAATATTGTTTTTATACATTAAGCTGCTTTTTTTATTTTTCTTATTTGATATTCTTGATTTGAGTGGTTTCTTGCTACTTCAAAATTTAAACATTTTGAGAGACTACAGACATATTCTGTGAAATCAGGAAGGAAAAATATTCCCAGTTTCTATATTATGACTGTAATTTGTACTGCCATTGTCTAAATCTCTGAATCTCTCTTTGTAGTCCTCATGAGTGGTCCGCCACTTCTTCCCAAGGTCATGAACTCTCTTTTTTTCCCTTAGCTCTACACACAGCTTCCTGTTCAGCTTGGCCAGTCTTCTGCACCAGCTCATCTTTTGGCATAGGGAGACAGCCTGCTCCTGTGCCTTTAGGATTTCTTTCTTCAAGAGTGCCCAGCCTTCCTGGACTCCTTTGCCTTTCAGATCTGTTTCCCAAGGAACTCTGCCAAACCAGTCTCTTAAACAAGCTCAGGTTTGCCTTCTAGAAGTCCAGGGTGGAAGTTCTGGTTAGTCTCCATCCTCACTCTTCCAAGAATCAAAAACTATTTTTATGATTACCATGCCCAAGACAGCCTCCAACCTTCACATCACCCACAAGATCTTCTCTACTGGTGAGCAGAAGGTCCAGTGGGCACCGTCCCTAGTTGGCTTAGTCACCAGCTGTGTCAGGAAGTTATCTGCCACACACATTAGAAACTTCCTAGACTGTTTCCTCTCCTAATTGTCTTTAGGCACCCAAGTGTCTTCACAAATTTGACCTCTCACGTTAAATTCACACCATTCGTTCTCTGCTGACCTTGGGTAAATTCAAGGAAATCTAGGTTTTTATTAGTCACTTTTTGATTGCATCACAGGATATTACATGATTTAATTATGTTATTCTTTCATTGTTTTTCATAAAATGCTTAGAGTTTCTCAGATGATTGTTGCTGAAAAAATAGGATTTTTTTTTCATATCGTAACAGGGTTGTAAGCATTTATGTAAGGTAAAGGAGAGGTGGATAAGGATATCTGTTTTTTTGTTTGTTTGTTTGTTTTTTGAGGATATCTAATTAATAGCTACTTATAAAATAAATTAACAACAACAACAAAGACAGGAGACCAGAAAAGTAATAAATTAAACAACAAGGTATGCAAAACCTAATGAGGGATAATAAAGACAATAAAAAAAATTAAAACTCTTAGGTCACTGATTGACGGATTCAAAAGAGTAAGGATCTGCCACTGGTAACACCTGGAAATAAAAGAATTTAGAGAACATAAAGCTTCTCCTGCAAACCTGTAATTAATGTTGCACAAACAAACAAGGTGGAAAGAATTAGGAAGATAGTCCTCCTTTTGTACAGAGTGCTAATAATAAGATCAATCTAACAGATTGTTGCCAGCAAAGCCTTCTTAAACAATTTAAAGAGGATGCAGATAAAGTAGACGTGCAGGAAAAGCTATAGAAGACAGTTCAAGGGCTCAGTATACATAAGAAACATCACTTTGTGACATCATTGCATGAAGTCCTAAGTGTTTCTGGATACCCAACATACCTTTAAATGTACATCTCAAACATGTGAAGAAGAAAGAAATATTCTTTGATTATTCCAAGTTTATATTTTCTATAATACCTTAATCTTAATCACAAACTAAACTCAGTAAAAATGTAGTTTTGAATGTAATTCTTCAGATTTTACAGAAACAAATTACAAACACAGTTCACCATATGAAATTAGTATTCACATAGTTCATCTACCAGATTCAAAGATCTTGATTTATGATACAGATTTTTGTTTCTTGAGCTTCTGAAGTGATTGACATAAATAGCTATCATCCTTCGGATGAACAAGTCAATAAAAAGGATAAGATACATACTATCTGCATTCCACAGATTATTCTTTTGGCAGGGGACTTAAGACCTTTGGTTCTGTTTTAGCTGTTTCATTCTACCATGCTCAGCCCCATACTTTTTGCACATTTTCTTTTACTCCATGAATTATCTAAATTGGGTCTTCCTTTTGTGAAAAATTTATGAATATGATATTCAGTTCTATTGCTGGTTAAAGGTTGCAACTTTAATATCCAGCATCAACAATTCAGTCCCCAAAGAGATCGTCGGCTCAAGAAATTTGTCATTGTAACCTTTTTAATATCTACTTTTTTCATTCATAAAATAGCTGAAACCAGAAGACTTCTGGCAATCAGCACCAAAGAGATAACAATTATACAGAAAGAGACAAATATATATATATATTAAGAATCTAAATAGGAAATATTGAGGATAAAGAACTGCACAATCAAGATGTATTATGTATGGACATAATACAGTTCTGTGAAATACATCGCCAATGATTGTACACAAAATCAAACATACTTCCTAGTTAAAAAAAAAAAAAAGTAAATTAGAAACAGAAAAGTTAGATTGATGTCAGGCTGATTCAACATTGGAAAGGCAGGCAAGTTTTTGACGATTACTGAGAATAAGGTGGAACAAGAACAATAAATCCCAAGTGATACTACTGGGAGATCAAAAACTACCCCTTGAGTAAAGAGTTATAATCTGTCATACAGCAGATTTTTGTTAATATGACTGAAGCTGAACAGTGTTAGTAAGTAGACAATGAAAGAATGTGAAAATATAACAAAGAAAACCCTTGAGAAAAGAATTGTACATGTTGTAGTATTCAGTGTAAATCAAATTAAGGTGAAAACAGTGGATTACATAGTTTTAGGAGCTGGTGTGTAATAGGAGAAAAGCAGAGAGCAAAATAACCATTATTTTTGCTGAATTATCTTATTACTTGGGGGAGAAGACTATCTATTTGGACACTAACATGTAAGTCAATGCATTGCTGAAGTAATTTTTAATTTGCTTTTCCATAAACACGTAGTTGATCAGGGGAAAGTAAATCTCATGGTTTAAGGTTTAGCCCCACTGAAAAACTATGTGATGGGTCATGATAACGGTTTTTAAAAGATTTATTTGCAGCAACATGCAGAAAATGAACTGACTACTGAATAAATCTCATATTGTCATTGAAGTTGAGGTTTCTGAACAGGTAAATTAAAAAGACAATTGAGGAAAAGGAGAATGAGGAATAAGTTGGGCTCTAAAGAAAAAAAATATTTCAAAACATGTTTCTCTTGGAATGGTTCCCTTTTCTTAAAGATGAGGCTGACAGGACAGCTGGATAAACTCAGCTGCAGGAATCTCGTAGTTACAGAGTTATAGACAGAAAACAGTTATTTACTGTGAGGGTGATAGAGCACTGGAACAGGCTGCACAGAGAAACCGTGGAGTTTCCTACTCTAGAGATATTCAAAACCTGTCGGGATGCCATCCTGCACAATGTGCTCTAGGTGATCCTGCTTGGAAGGAGGATGATCTTCAGATGATCTTCAGAGGTCCCTGCCAACCTCAACCTGTGATTCTGTAATTCTTTCATCAGAGCAGATATGCTCTCTAGCCATTGCAGAAGAAAAGACAATGTAAGCCCACTTACATCTGCACAGCACAGCAGTCAGTGAAGAGATGCGTCTTATAATGCATTGATAAAACAATAAATGTCTCTATATTTGGACAAGTTGAACAGTACAGTCTTAATATTTCCTTTTGATTTATTGGGGATATTCTTTCTTGTATACTCCATTCCAGTCTCTAAGAATTCATTCAATTTCTTGTCAAATTCACAACTTCTATTGATACATCCATTATTTAATAAGCTTTTTTTTCATCCAGCTTCCCATGGAGTATATTTAACCACTTACTTTTATCATTTATCTGCCATTGTTTTCTGTTTGTTGTTGTTGTTGTTGTTGGTTGATTGGTTGTTTTCAATATTGAGTTTATTATTATTATTTTTAGCTTTATTTATGCCAACTTCTAGTTAACATTTTATGCTGACTTTTTCTTTCATGTATAGCCTGTATTACATCCATTATCTGACAACATGCTCAGAACACAAGATGATACCTGCATTGCTTATTATGGTTAATTTCAAAGCAGTTCCCATCAGTTTTTCTAAACTATATGAAGAAAAATTGCTCTCTCTTCTGCTTCCAGAAAAAGAACACACCGTATAATTGCTTGCCTCTTGTATTTATCATGCATTTATACTATTCCTAAGAAGTGTAACACAAGATTTGATCTTATTGAGAAGTTTAGGCTGTGTTTAATATGGTCCACAAGTGACTATTAATCTTATAGAGTACTAAATTGTTCTTGGGGTTGTAGTGAGCATTAGAAAACACATAATTGCATAACAGAATGTAAGAACTAAAAGAAGGAAAGACAAGAGGATGACGAGCAGGCTGCAATGCAAAACCAGAAGGGATCTGCTGAATCATCAGGTGGGGTCCCCAACTCCAGCAGGCAAATCTGTTATGTAGTGACTTTCATTAATTTGCCAGGATCTGCCTTCATATTCCAGTTCCTTCTGCTGAAAGACTCTCCTGGAATCTTGTTCCACTAGTACTTAGAAATCAGCTTCTAATTTCCAGTCAAAAGGTGAATATGGACAGTTATCCCCATTATTTGGTGTCAACAGTTGTTTTTTAACATATGTTGTGACTCGGTGGAGCTTAGTGTTGTTCCTAGACTTTCCTAGAAAATATTCTGTGTCCTAAAAAGGTAGGAGTATTTTTGTTTGTTGGTTGGTTTGTTTCTTTGTATATATATATATATATATATATATATTTTTTTTTTTTTCCCCTTGGACAGTTTCATTCATTTTATTTAATTGGGTACACTTTCACTAGACTTCAGCCTCTTAACTGCATTTTGAAAGTCATTGACAAGGCAGGAAAAGGAGCTGTGGATTTTCCTCTGTGAAGAGATAAAGACTGCCCTTTGGGAATGGGGACTGGTCAGTGAGGGCTGGCACTGGTGCCCATTGGAGGGCAGAAGGAGCAAAATGGTGGTGGTATATGGGACAAGAAATCTAAGGCAGAAGGATGTGGAGCTTAATGGAGAAGGGGTTTCACAAAGACAGAAGAAGTGACTATTCTTGGGAATCCCCTAGAAAGACTGGGCTCTTTGGGAGGAAAGAGAGAGAGTTTTGAGGTGACCTTTGTACAAGCAATGAGGCCTTGATTATGTAGAAAGGAAGTACTGTGAAGCTGGAGTAAGAGGATACAATGAAAGGGCGGGGAGTCCAAGGCACGAGGACTGAGAACAGGAGGGATTTTTTGTGTATCTTCAGGGAGTGTCCCTGAATTTTGCAGTCATGCACAACTGGACCCACACAGATGGTACCTTCTGGGTACCTTCTTCTCCAACCTCTTTGGTATTGTGAGTGCTGTGATCCTAAGCAAAGTATTTCTTGTATGATTTTTGTTTACATGGATGTATGAGATCATGGACTAATATCTGTATACGAGGCTTTGTAAGCTCTCATGTTAGTAAAATGAGTGATTCATAAGGTTGAGAATGTTTAAAAAAGCCTGCAAGTATAAATTGAGAAAAACAACTTTCACTTTTATTGACCCAGCTCACTTGAAGACTTGGTTGATCTTGTTCAAAGTAATCTTTCCATTGTGTTTTGTAGTCCATAACATCTCCAGAATTTACTGGATCTTGTAAGAAAGAACTCTTTCATGTAAAAATAGGAATTTATTTATTTATTTATTTCCCTAAGATCACAATATGTGTAACAGCAAAACAAGAGGATGGAAAAGAGAGTGCTTAGAGCAGGATTCAGGGACACTGGGGATAAGCACATAGGTTGGTATGAAAACAACTCCTGGCCCAGATTGCCCCATCATTCTCTGTTTCTGACTATATGTATCTGAGAAGAAAGGGGACACTTTCCAGTTACACAAATCTCACTGATTCCAAAGAAAAACATGCCTGACAATTTTAAAACAATAACACTGAGGTTTTGTTTTCTGGATGACTTAGAAAATTCCATTACAATACTAAATAAGAAAAATATGTAGCCCTCTTTTCCATTGATTGAGAATTTTAAATTCCAGTTCTGTTTTTGAAAGTAGTTAAATCACTTAGGCACTTTTATCACAGAGTTCATTTTTAAACTATAACATATGTTCGCTTTACAACTCTGGAAGGTGCAGATATTCACATTACCACCTTACTGGCTTTGGATATAAATATTTATTACAATTCAATCTCCACAAGGAGCATCACTCACAATACTGCAGATGAAGAAAAGCCAAGATGACAGGACACAGATGAATGATAATATATTTGAACTTTTGCTGGCAGTAGTCAGCCTTGATATTAGTCACTTCTTTTGTCATGCTCGGTATATTGAAAAGTTATTTTAACTGTCTAAGACTGTTATAACATCACCGGCCATAATCCATTCCAGAATCTGAGGAAAGCCATCGACTTTTTTCCCTGTTAGCAATCTTCATCACCTGTCTAGTCTGAACATGAAAAATATATTTTCAGTTACTACAGATTTAATAAATTGTTAATATTTTAATAACTGCAGAACATCAAAGAAGTTCTGCTGGTATTTAAGAAAGTTTAGTTTGAAATTCATGCCATTGATGAATGAAGTTTTAAGAGACTGTTTTCATGCATTTTCATCAGACCACTATAATATCACATTGATCCTGTGTTTTAAGTAATACCTTTTTTATTCTTGAATGCATTGCTTACAAGTTAGTATTAAGGTGAGTGACTGGGGAAAATTCAAGTGTTCAACAATTACATTTTAATAAAACCTGCACAACTATTCTGCTGTGTCTCTATCTGATCTGGTTTCTTTTCTGTTACTTCTAGAGGCAATGATACTCACTATGATTCCGTCTACAGTCAGAACTTGACTGTTCTGTTATTAACTACCATGAGAGCCTAGATAGCACTGAGAATTTGCACCCTCAGGTAGGAAACTAAGTAAAATGATAGGACTAGAAGAAAGCATGAATACATAGCAGATAGTTATTTAGTACAAAGTTCCAATGCTAAGTACTGTAAGAAAATCAGTGTGATAATGTATATAAATAACTTTCAAGCCAAAAAATAAATACCTGGAAATACTTTGAACAAACAGACGGCTTCATGCTTCAAGTCCGAAATATTTATTTGGAGCTAGATTCAGTTCCCACAAAAGTAAAGAAATGATTTCCCTTTGGTGAACACCAGATAGAGTGGGAGACAAAGAGATGCATGAATTGTTTGGGATAAAGACCAAGCTTGCCTAAAACTGTGCACAGAAATACAGCACAACTCAAATCTGCTTTGCAGTTTGGTGAATGCCAACAATGTTCTTGTATGTTTTTCCCACTATATTTCTCTAAGATAACTGGAAAAAGTAAAAATACAATAGAAAATATGCATTATTTATGAAATTGTCAAAGAGCCACAAAAAAAAAAAAAAAAAAAAAAAAAAAAAAAAGATTTGTGGGTTTGTAAGAGCTTTTAGTTCTCACCTACCTCTAGAAATGTAGTGGTGCTTTCAGATTTACATATATCTAAGTTATACAGTTTTCTACTTTTACTATAAGGAGAGTGGGATGCTGTTAGTTTCAGAAGCCTTAAATCTCCTGAGTTCCAACATGCACCGTAATCTCTTTGATTTGTGGGCAAGTCTTTGGGCAGATCTCCTTTAGTGAGTTTCCTTGAATGTGGTTAGACAATCACAAAGAATAGGTGTAAGGTCAACATTTATTTAAACATGAAATAGCAAAATGCGGCAATATTTGTGGACCAATAAATTGTGCAATGTGTAAAACAGTGACAACAGCTAATACAGATCTTTTCAAACCAAAACCAAGGAACATTAAGGAGAGAAAATTTTGTTGCAAATGTGAATCATCAGAAAAAATATTATGTAAAAGTTGCCAGATTGGCAGATTAGAGATGGATCACAACTGTTAACTATGACTATTTTATAGGAAGAAGGGACCGTTTTATATAAGCAAAATAAATAAATAAATAAATAAATAAATAAAGAGAAATGAATCACATGAAACTCAAATGTAAAATAAGCAAAATTAACTATCAGGGTAATAAGTATTACCCTGATTGATAAGTCAATAAAGTAAGTAAGCAAGCATAACTCCAATTGAAGTAAGCAAGCATAACTCCAATTTCCCCCACTAGGTTCTGCAGATGTTTTAAAAAGTAACTTATAGGCAATAATATCAGAAGGAGATAACAGAAGTTGAAATGTATCCAGTTAATAATATGCTTCTTTTCCCTCCTGCTCCTGTTGTCTTCTTGTATTTTGAGAGTTCAGTTCAAGATATGCAAAATTTATGCTTCCTTGCAAATTTAAATGGACAGACAAAGGCAACATGACTGTTAAAATTTCTCTCTTGGCCTCTTCAACAGGTGGTTCTTTAGAATCCCTCTTAGATGATCTACTAGACACTTCAGTGAAACTCCATCTAAAAATTTGTCTCCGTTGCTTTATTTTAAAATCTGTTTCATAAAATGTAATGAAGTGTACACACAACTGCACACATGGCCATACAGAATAGCATCCACTGAAATGTATAAATAAACAAATTGTAAAGAATTATTATTAACATAGTGCTTACTCTTTCACTTTTTTTTTTTTTTGCTTGTTTCCACTACTCAGTGGATTACCTCTAGCAGTAAGCTCCTGTCTTTTATCTGTAACACGGCAAGCATAAAAGAGCCAAAAATGATAAAATATTTGTAGCTCTAGAAAAGATTTTCTCCCTCAAAGCTTGAGTATGCTATCTAAAATAGATTTCATATAATTCAGCTTCACATACTGTTGAAATGCAAATTCATAAGTACTTGTAGAGAACTGAGATGCTTGAATGATAATTCACAGTGAGGATTTGTTCTCACTCAATCTGATACATATAATGTACATACTTGCTGAGCTAAAACCATCCCTCATTTCTCAAATGAATATCTAAGATATCTTTAGAAGCTCAGTGAAAGAGTTTCTAATCAACAAGAGTGAATACACCATCTGATTTCTTCCCTTTCTCTTTGCCTCTGTCCCAAGCACAGCCCTCTACTGCTTAGGACTCTTTGAAGAGTGAATTCAATGACTTGAATACCCTTCATTCATCTGCAGTTTCAGTAAAGTATTTTAATATCCATATACATAGGACCTTTGATTTAGGCTTGTCTGTCACTATGGAGTCTACCAAGTGGTGCATGTGACATTTCAGAGTACAGAGAAAATTTTGACCAGAACATGAAGACTGTAAAATATTACAAACAATTGAGGACCTTGTCCAAAGGAAAATAAGTCATCATCAGTCTGAGCAAGAGAGAGTAGTAAGGGGTCCCTTTCTCTCTGAGAGGACGGTCATACTAGGCTAATTTAACTACGATCACCACAGCTTGAAAGCAAAGTAGGAGAGAAAGACCATCCATAAGATCATTTTTTAATGCTGTTCTTCAACATCTGAAAGAGAAAAAAAAAAGTTACAACAGGGAAGTTATAGTAGGGAAATCACTAAAGTTACAAGACTATGCAAAATTATATGTAAGAAAGGGGAAGATGAAAAAAAATTGGAATGTGAAGCAACACATTAGAAAGAACACAGAAAGAAAGATGTACATGTAAGAGATTAGGATATGGAAACAAAAGTGTGAAAGAAAGAGAAGGCTGCAAGAA